TTAGACAAAAGTTTTTTATCAGCTAACTATAATGAAAAGATAAACACTGTAGTAATTCATGTGATCGAAAATGGGCAAAAGCAAAAGACTAGCTTCCCCTCAAGAAGAAAATTTCAGACCTAGGAAAAGGACAACAATATTATTCATCATCATCATCATCTTCATCCTCTTCATCTTCATTCTCTTCATCTTCCTCTTCTTCCTCATCTTCTTCATCTTCCTCGTCTTCCTCCTCCTCCTTCTTTTTCTTGACAACTCCCCTTTTTTGCTGCATCAGGCTCTCCTTTAGCTCGGTATGCAGCAATATCCTTTTCGTATTTTTCCTTCAGCTTAGCAGCCTTCTTTTCCTAAGGCTGTTTACCATCTGCAGCAGTGTTATTCCACATCTCTCCCAGTTTCTTTGCAACATCACCAATGGATAGGCCAGGATGTTCTCCTTTGACTTTTGGGTGATACTCAGAACAGAACAAGAAAAAGGCCGAAGGAGGCCTCTTGGGTGCATTGGGATCCTTGAACTTCTTTTCTGTTTCCCCTTTAAGAGGGATATAGGTTTTCATTTCTCTTTCATAACGGGCCTTGTCTGCCTTTGCCATATCTTCAAACTTTCTCTTTAGCAGACATGGTCTTCCACCTCTGAGCACTTCTTAGAAAACTGAGAAGTTGACCGAAGCATCTGGGTACTTCTTCTTGTGCTCCTCCCGGCAAGTTTGCATGAAGAATGCATATGATGACATTTTGCCTCTCGGCTTCTTAGGATCTCCTTTGCCCATGTTTAGTATCTTTCCTCCGCGAGCACAGAGTCGCCCAGTGCCCGTCCAGCTCTCACTTGCCCCGGCGCTGTCTCTATGGAGCTCAATGTACTGCAATGGCTGTGAGAGCGGGAGCCAGACACATGTCTTGAGTTCTTTACCTGGAACAGACCTGACAACATCTTGCTTTTGAATCTTCCTTGAGACTGCCTGATACCAAGAAAACAGCACCATCCACCAAAGGTGACATCATAGAAACTTCTGGAAATCCCCTGAATTTTTCTCCTTCAGACCCTTACATTGTGGTATTTGTGACCTATGTTTAAAAGCCCCGCTTGCTCCTTGGTTGCGGAGATAGTATTTCAAGAGTTTGGAGCTCTACTGCTCTCTCAGCTGACATCTTCTGTAATAAAGCCTTCCTCCAAGCAAATGCTGGTTGTCTCAGAAATTATCTTAGGTTTCTACATTTGTCCAGTAACAGTAAGACCTAAAGCAGGAGTAGCGGGATGACTGCACAGACACAGTTGAGAAAGGAAACCCATTCAGATTTCCTGAACATGTGCTTTCCTCCTTCTCCTTATCAGTGGTTCTCCATGCCAGGCTACAGAGTAGAAGCCCCAGGGTAGCTTTAATAAAACACGTAGGTTTCAGTTTTATCTGTGGGCAATTAAACTGGAATCTTCGTAAATGGGAGCTGGATATTAGTTTTTAAATCTGCCCAGTAACTAATGTATCCAGAATGGAAATCACTATTCTAGACCTCTGCTGTCCACTAGCCACATGTGGCTATTTAAATTTACATTTATGTTCATTCGAATGAAATACAACAGGCTAGCTTGTGGCATGGTGGTTGAGATGGCTGGATCTCACATAGCCAACTGTGTGGTTCAAGTCCCAGATTCAGCACCTTGAGAGGCTGGGTGCCTATGTGTGCATGCCCAGAATTCTGAGAGGAGAATGTGGGAGAAGAGATTGTGGCTTGGCTACCCCCTCGAAGGGTGCTTTCTCTCTCTTGTGAGAACACACACCCAATAGTAACATATAAAAAATAAAGAAATAAAATCGAGACCAGCAGATGCTGTAATGGTTACATTGCTGGATTCCCATGTTGCCGACTGTGATTCTAGTCTTGGACTCGGCAGCTAAAAACTCAAGCCAGGAGTGTGTGTCTGTGTGTGTGCCCAAAATCCCAAGAGGAGAATGGAAGAGAAGGGATTGCATTGTGGGTCTTCTCCGGGTGGGTGATTCTCCCTTTCTGGCTCTCTGGCAAGTACATGCACCCTATAGCAAAAATCTCAGTCTCTCTTGGGAACCAGCAGTTAGCGTAATGGCTATGTCTCTGAACTCCCACGTAGTCGACCGCGGTTCGCGTCCCGGACCCGGTGGCTTAAAACTCATGCCGGGCGTGTGTGCGTGCGTGCCCAAGATCCTGAGAGGAGAATGGAGGAGAAGGGATTGTGGCGTGACCATCCCCTCTGGGGGGTGATTTCTTGCTTTCTGTCTCTATGTCTTTCTCTGTCTGTCTGGCAAGCGCACACGCCTTATAGCAAAAACCTCTAAAAAAAAAATCTCAACTCTCAAAAAAAAAAGAAGGAAAGAAAGGAATAATAATAATTAAATTAAAAATTCAGTTCCTCAATTATACTAATCATATTTCAGAAGCTCAAGAACCACATGTGGCTTATCCAACTTAGGCCAGGCAGAATGGCTCCTACAAAGAAGGGTGGTGAGAAGAAGGGCCATTCTGCCATCAACGTGGTGGTGACCCAGAATACATTATCGACATTCACATCCTTGGGGTGGGCTTCAAGAAACGTGCCCCTTGGGCACTCAAAGAAATCCGGAAATTTGCCATGAAAGAGATGGGGACTCCGATGTGCACATTAATACCAGGCTCAATGAAGCTATCTGGACCAAAGGAATAAGGAACGTCCCAAATCGAATCTGTGTGTGGTTGTCCAGAAAACGAAAGGAGGATGAAGATTCACCCAAGCTTTACACTCTGGTGACCTGTGTACCTGTTACCACTTTCAAAAACCTACAGTCAATGTGGGTGAAAGCGAACTGCTGATTTTCAAATAAAGTTACAAAACCAACCAAACAAAACAAAACAAAACAAAACCAAAAAACCACATGTGGCCTGTGGGGTTACCATACTGTACAACACAGTATCGAACATTCCATCTCACAGAAAGTTCTGGACAGCACAGCCGTAAAGGTTCAGCCTGGGGTGAACTCCTCATTACCCCCTTCCCAGTAGGCTGCATAAACAACCCTGCTCTCTGCACTGCAAGCTTACATTGTAACCACTTTGCAGGCTTTGAAGGAAGTGGCAAATCCACTATTTGCCAGACTTTAAACACTTTGTAAGTGTTCTCTTACTTAATCTCAATAACTCAAAGTAGATTATCCTTTTCTATATTTTATAGCTAAAGAAATCGCTGCTAAAAAAGGCTAAGTGGAAAGCTTACACGTATTCTATGTTATTACCACAATATCATGTTGTCACTCTTGCCAGAGTGTTTAATAGGTGGTAGGGGACACTCCTGCATTGTCCCTTCCTACCCACACTAACTGCAAGGAAACAGTAACAGCTTCAGTCTTTAGAGAATGAGATCCCATTCATTCTGTCCAGTTGATGGGCCTGGGGCCAACACTTAACCAAGGCTGAATCAATCAAACTCCATCCCTGGGAATTTGGAACTGGAATTAAGTGAAGATAGTGACAACGATCGGGCACTGGCAAAATGAACACACTCCACTAAGGAATGAAAATCTTTTTTTTCACTCATGCAACTCACTCTTACTCCAGTTTATGAAGAAATGAAATTTGAAATTATATAACATGCTCTACTAGAACATGTTCTGCATGTTCTTCCTAGGATTTGATGAGAAATCCTTCTATTTTTTTACATCAAGACTTTTTTTATCCCCTTTAGCTAGAGTGTGTTTCAGTGGCTATAGCAAAAGTCTTAATAAAATTTTTAAAAAGTTATTGTAATTTCTAATTTTCATATAACCATTGTATATCTTTGTGGGGGTACACCATGTTTTTCTTTTAGTTATTTATTTAATTTTATTTATTTACTCATTTATTTTTAGTTTGACTAGAGAGACGCAGAGAAAGAGGGAAAGTGAGAAAGCGAGCCACCAGGTCTGAGACTTGAACCATGGTCGGCCATGTGGGAGTGTCCAGCGCCTTAACCACCACGCCACCTGCTGGCCCCACACCATGGTTTTTTTAAAGCTTGTATACAGTGTGTCATAATCAAGGGTACACACATACCTTTTCGACATTTGCTATTACACCATGCTGTGCACATTCAAAATTCACGCTACCGGTCTTTTATGAGATATATATTTATTTGGTTATGTTGCTGGACTTCCACATGGCTGACCACAGTTCCAGTCCTGGACCAGGTGGCTTAAAAATCACACTGGGCACGTGTACGTGCATGCCCAAGATCCCAGGAGGAGAATGGAGGAGAAGGGATTGTGGTGTGGCCATCCACCCAGGGGGGGGTCACTTCTCACTTTCCCTCTTGCTGTCTCTGTCTCTGAGGCACTCTCACATGCTCTATGGAAAACCTTTAAAAAAATAAAAAAACAGGGTTAGCAGCTGATGTTGGTTAAGGTGCTGGATACTGTTACATGGCTGACTACGGTTCAAGTCCTGGACCTTCTCTGGTCAAATTAAAATAAATGAATAAATAGATAAAATTAAATAAATCATTCTTTAAAAGAAAAAATAATTAATAAATGCATCCTCTGCAGGTGGAGGAACCACTCCACAGGAGTAGTCCTTTCAGAACACATCCTTTCCTTAGGACTTTTTGCAGTTCCCTCTGCCCACCTTTAATTTTCTTCATAATAATGTCTCAATCATGGCCTCTTTTGCTGTGTTAGAAATACCCTTTTGATTTAGATAAGCATAAATAGGCACACCATCTCCTAGATGCTTGTAATTTCTGACCTTTGGAGCTGATTGTTAATTGTTGGCACCAAGCTTTCAAAATGTCTTGGTGAAGCTGGCTGACTGGTGGCAGTTGAGAGGGTAATGCGGGAACTGGCATCTTCTTCTGAGGCTGTAGGCTGTCACTGCACTGTGCCTTGTTTGGACAGGAAGCTTTGTCATCCTTCACAGATTGTTTTTCATTTTCCCTTTGCTGAGGTTGTTTGGTAACCCTCCGATGTGCTTGGTTGACTGGGAACCCACTGCTGCTCTTCAGTTTCTACAGACACATTTCCCAACCTAGGATCTCTGCATTCTTTCCATGACTTCTCTGTGGATTTCCACTCCTCACCTCTTGCATGCTCCATACTCAGAAAGGATGTTAAAGAAAAATTCTTCTTACTTCCAAAATGGCCTATTTACCTTGATTGCTTTGAAAAGTCTCCTGTTTTTATTTATTTTTAAAAGAGCTATTTCATTTAACTTTATTTATTTAATTTATTTTAATTTGACCAGAGAAGGACAGGGTGAGAGAGAGAGAGAGAAAGTGAGAAAGCAAGCTGCTAGGTCTGGGACTCAAATCAAGATCGGCGATGTGGGAGTCCAGCACCCTTAAGCACCACGCCACCTGTCCGTCCCCTGTTCTTATTTTTAATTGTCAGAGGGTATGTATGCTTGCCAGAGAAAGAGAAAGCACTCACCAGTGGGACATGGTCACACTGCAATCCTTTTTTTTCTCCATTTCTCACCCCATCAGGACCTTGGGCATACATGCACATAGACACCTGGCATGTCTCTCAAGCTCTTAGGGCAGGACTCAACCTGTGATCAACCACATGGGATCTGGCTCCCTTAACTGCTAGGTTGTGGGATCAGTCCACAATATATTTTATTTGAATTTATAGCTATATTTGTTTACAAATAATTGCATTTGTATATATGTTCAATAAACTCATAAATATTTCGAAATGTTTCATTTCAAAATGTCTCCCTTCATAGCTCATTCAACCCAGGACCTCTGAGTTCAAACCAAATCAGACATATACACGACACTTTGGAGTCTATCAATTAAGGCGTAAATATTTATTATTACTAACGGTTGTAGTACCGTTTCCCCACTGTGTAATTGGGAATCGTATCTGGTTTCTTCCTTTCTTTTTTCTTGAAATCAGATCCTTCTAATCAACATCCTATCTTTTCTACCTGATCTCAAGAAAGCCGAAGAGGGGTTTGGAGGGGAGAAGCGCCCCCAGGGCAACATGTCAAAGAATCTGGAACACACCATGTGTGTGGCACAGAGCCCGTGCTATTTGCTCAGACGTATCAATGGCCGACATTCACATGCAGACTGCCCGGGCACGCCCTGACACTGACTGAGACCATGTCTGCCAATGCCTACTATCAGTCTTCTTCTAAAGAGGCAGGTGTCCCCACTGAGCCCTCAGAGAAACACTCGTGAGCTTCACTACTCTGTACTCGCTGCCGGGCCCTCAGACCTGCAGTCGTTGACTTCTTGGCCGCAGGAATCTTAACAGAACTGCAAATGCAAAGGTGGACAAGGGGTGTTCACTCTCCATACCAGGCTGTGCACAGCGTGGCGACACGACAGTGTCTAGGAGATCCCAAACACAAACAGGGCTATTTCCTCGATGCCCTGCCAGGGACCAGGCGTTACGGGAAACCGCCGTTTCTGGCACTGTCCCCTGCATGTAGTTTGTGCTCAGTAAATGTTGAATGCATATGACAGAAATGAGTTAACCTTATTGAAATGTTTAGCTTGCCAAAGCTCAGGGAGCTATTACTGCAGTATCAGAATGACACCCCAGTGTGCGTGTGTGGTCATTTCAGGCCCAGGCTCAAGAAACACTCCCCCCGCACCTCACAGCAGCAAGTGCACACACGGTCATTCTTGTCAACCAAGAAGATGCCTCATGACCTGGTCGCCTCCTGGAAAATGCCAAGAATGAGGAAGCAAACCCACTCTTAGAGAAATCTATTTTGGTGTGTTTCACTTGCCACATCCTTCCCTCCAGAGAAGGGGGCGCGGAATGGAAAGGAACACACTAGGAAATGAGAAGTGTGGGCTGGGGAAAGCCATTCTGGGCAATGACAAAGGAGCTTACCGGCCAGAGAGCAGCAGAGACAGGCGGTTAATGGGTGTCTCACCCTCCACGGCATACGTCTGCTCGGCAGCCAGAGCCAGCACCTGCTCCTCGCAGCAGTGCACAATCTCTCTGTACGTCTGTAGGGGCACCTGCAGAGGCAGGTACAGCGTCTTGTAGAGGAGGTCGAACTCCCCGGGGAGCGTGTCCTCACGCAGGCGGTACACCAGGTGGGCCAGCTGGAGCACGCAGGCCACTGCCAGCAGCAAGTTCCAAAGGACGACGTCCAGCCCGCAGGCATCCAACCAGCCCCACAGCACGCAGCACAGGTAGCCCGTGCCCAGGAAGCCAAAAAAGTAGAAGCATCCATACATCCCACTGCCCCCCATGAAGCCCAGGAGCAAGAGGCAGTTGGCCAGGTGATAGAAAGCCCCTTCCAGATCCTGCTTCCAGCTAACGCAGGGCGGCCCCTGCCAGAGGAGCTGGCCCACCATGCTGCTGTTGGAACTCATCTTTGGGAATCTCGAAACCTTGCTGGGCTCCGATTCTGTCCCCGCATAGGAAACTCAGAAAATAAATTAATCTGTCCTCCCAAGTACCTTCTCACCTCCGGCTTCTCACCAACTCCACCTTTTCTGAGAAGACGGCTTCTGGTGGCTTTGGGAAAGAATGGCAGAACCGAGTACACTTCATGGGTAATTTAAGCACGTCTCCCCCGCTCTCTCTCTCTCCTTCAGCAAGGCTCCAGCCCTCCTTGCAGAGTCTGGCAAGCGTTCTTAACTCCAGGATTTCTTAGGACGTTCTTCAACTTCGCTTCTCAGCAGAAAACCGAAATTGCGCTGAGGGGAAGGTAGGACTTGGGACTGACACCTTCAGCCGAGTGGGATGGAGTGGTCACATCCTGCTCTCTGCTGTCCCCAAGCAGAGTAAGGAGAGCCCAGCATGGGAGGCACACTTGTGTTCCATTTGGAATGTGTTCTCTCTTGGCACCGGAAGAAAGGGTGACCCCAGAGGGATACCATGTTTGGAATTGGAATCCAAGAGGTACTGGCAGTGAGAAAAAACAGGCCAGGCACACAGGCAGGCTGGCAGAGCACTTAACATACCTCCCAGAGGACAAGATAAGACCTCAGTCGGTGAGAAGACAGGCGGGAGACAAAGGCAAGCGAGCCCAAGAATTTACCTCCGTGCCTTAGGCAGGACACTACCCAGAGCTCCCCGCGGGGGGTGGGTGGCCCCAACGTTCGTGGGAGGTAGGGCACATCAAAGTAGGAAGATATTGAACTATTTTCCGAAAGAAATCCTGAGCTAAAAGCTGCCCAACAGCTTTTATTTATTTATCTCACCAAGTAACTTTAAGCATTTACTTGACATCCATTTAACAAAAGCAGCTTTTGGAATTCTAGACTGACTTTCCCCGGCAGAGATCTGATCCAGTAATGTGAATAAATAGTAATTCACTGGCCAGACCATCATCCCAGCAACCCAGTATTTCCTAGTTATAAAGACCGCCTATTTAACACCTGTGGAGTGTCAGCTCTAAAGTGGGCATTTACGCACTTACCACTTAATCGTCACAATAAACCTTCGAAATAAATATTCCCCTCCTAAATCTTAAAGAATCTGGGTCTCAGACAGCAAGTTCCCACAAAAAGTAAAAAGCAGAGGCAGGATTTGAATCCATGTCTATCAGACGTAATACTCTGGGCCGAGTAATTTGGGCAAATTTCCACATAAGGTGGAAATACACGACTAGACCCATGAGTCCCAAATCCACACTCCTCTGAAGTCTGACTCCCAAGGATGAAACTGAGGGTCTGCTTTGGGCCGCGCAGTAAGTCTGGAATATGCAAACACTAAACCAAGAAGTGCGACGCTGGCTTCCAAATGGCTCCTCCGTCTTTCTTCCTTGCTCCTGGGTGGACATTACTGCCCCTGAGGTACAAACGGGGGCCTGATTACCTCCCAGAACTAAACCCACTGGGAAGTTAGAAAATGCCAAATGTGCTGAGAAGTGATTTTTCGTTCTTTTTAAATTTTTGCTATAGGAGGGCACATGCACTTGTCAGAGAGAGAGGGGAGGAGGGAAAGTGAGAAATCACCCCCCCCCCCCGCCGCGCAATCCTGTCTCCATTCTGCTCTGGGGATTTTGGGTGCACACGCACATGTACCAGGCCTATTTTCCAAGATGCAAGGTCCAGGATTTGACCCACGTACTTGGCCATGTGGATCCAGCTGCCTTAACCACTGTGCTACTGAACTGCAACTCAACTACTGTTTATTGGGTGCCTACTGAGAGCTAAGCACTTGGCGGTCAAAGATTTCCAAGAGAAGCTTTCATCCTATTAACTGCAACTCAACTACTGTTTATTGGGTGCCTACTGAGAGCTAAGCACTTGGCGGTCAAAGATTTCCAAGAGAAGCTTTCATCCTATTAAGGGAAAAAAAAAAAAACACCAGCAATTCAGCGTGTGAAGCACAGCAACTGAGTTAAGTTTAAAGAACTAAGTTCTTTAATCTAGTGGCAGCCTAGAAGGAGGGGTGGCATCCAGGAGGGAAGACGGAAAGGGCTTGTAGCTGGTCCGAGGTGCAAGGGTAGAATTCAGCAGGCAGGCAGTCAGCAGCATGACGAGAGGTGAGCACAGCAGAAGCCTGGCAAGATGGTGTGAGAATATGCGGCATGTCAGAGGAAGCCAGTTTTTATTTCATTAAAATCGGCTGGCCAAAGAACTGTGTTATCTTCTTTCCTCCTTTCTAAAATTAAGAGGAAAAAAATTAGTGCTAAAGGAAAAGCGCCAGAGAATTCGGAGGAGAAATGGCCTGGACCTCCCCCACGGCAATGATTCGGACTTGTGATGTCACCCAAGCGGTGGAGGTTGGGGATTTTCATATGCCTTCATGTCACCCAGCCCGCCTACTCTACCAAGCAGCTGCTCCCCCTTCCTCCTTAGTCATGCACCCCCTAGGCTTCCAGAGCGCCTGTCCCTGCCAGTTGTGAGTGGGGGAAGTCAGGGGCACAGAAAGCCCAGTAAGGAGGGCTCTGCCCAGATAGAATTTCAAAGCAGGTCATCTTTCTCAGCAAGCCTACCGCTGGCTTGGCCCTGACTCTTTAAAGAGACAGGCAGATCCATTAACTACTATCCACTTGCCCGCTGCCCAGAGTGTACTCACCTGCTCTTCTGGCAATCCATCTGTGCATCTGTGCTCATCTGAGCAAAGGGTATTAACATTTATCAGGCAACCACTGCGAAGTCATGTCATTCCATGATACCTTTTCGTCTGAAGCAGGACAGGCTCGGAGGCTAAGGAACTTGCTCAAGGTCACAGAACTGAATAGAGATTAAAGCCTAGGTCACTGTGACTCTAAATTTGCTACACCATCCTTCTAGGTACTCTGAGCTTACACACAAAGGCTTGTTCATTGGTATAGGGGACGTAAGTGTGCCTCTGCGATAGCGTGTTGGCCCTTCGTAGGTGCTCAGACCCCACACTGCATGCAGGGACAGCGAGGTGAGTGCCTGGTGGGATAGGATCTGTGATCAGAATACGATGGAAAGTTTTACTTGATAGAAGTGGGGGGGGGATCGTATGTCAAAATGGTATGTTCTCATAAAGAAATCCATAAACTTTAAGCAGCACAGTAGAAAATATTTGGAGAAAAAAGTACTATCATTAGTTGAGTTGATTCAACTCAATAAGCATTTTTAAATTTTTATTTCGTTTGCTATAGGGTGCACGTACTCACTCACTGGGGAGAGACAGAGAGAAAATCACCCCCTCCAAGGTGATGGCCATGTCATAATCCCTTCCCCTCTCAGGATTTTGGGCATACACACACATGTGCCTGGCGTGCTTTTCAAGCCTCCGGGTCCAGGACAGACCCTGCAGCCCTCTGGGCTCTATCACCTTAACCTCCATGCTACCTGCTGGAACTCAGTAAGTATTTATTCAGGACAAACTATTAATTTATGTGCCAGAAACATGGGATAGAAAGATGAACAAGGGAAGCCAGCAGGTGGCATGGCGGTTGGGGTGTTGAACTCTCCAACGGTTCAAGTCCCGGACCTGGTGGCTTGTTTTTGCACTTTCTCTCTCTAGTGAGTGCACATGCCCTATAGCAAAAAATAAAAATAAATCAAATAATTATTTTAATTTTAAAAATGAAAGATGAACAAGACTATTACCACCTTCAAGGAACTTTTGGTCTAGTTGGGAAGACTGATTCAGAAAAAACTGTAATGCAATAAGATAGGTACACCCAGGATTCAAAAGAAAAGCACCGGTGGGTGAGCAGAGAAGTCAGGAGAAACGTTACAGGGAAGGTGCCATGTAAGCTGGTAAAAACGATGAGTAGTTGTTCCCCAGCTAAGGAAGGGCCTAACAGGAAGGGGGACAGAATGTGAAGCCTAGCCCAGAAGTAAAAACAGAAGTGCACAGCACATTCTGGGAACAAGAACAGCGTGCTGTAGACGAATCAGGAGCGGCAGGACCCGAGGTAGGAGGGCGGCTGGGGCTAGGTTATGAATCAGCTGGCTAACCAGTGCCTCTCACGTGTGGGCACTACGCAGGCTAGGCTTTGAATGGTTGGTTATTAGCCCATGGTAAGTGCTTGGACACTGAGAGTGTTTGGACATTTTTATAGCAATTTGACAGAGAAACTTACAGCCTTTAAATTTAGTAACCAAAACTCTGGGCTTGTACAGTGTATGTCTTTTTTTTAAAAGCACATTTTTTAAAATTTCACTCTCCTAATATGGATCTGTGATGAACTAAGTAAAGTCAACACTTTTTGACATAGCTTGAGAAACACTGAGTTTGAGACTAACAAGTTCCTAACATAGATGTTAAAACAGAAGCATGACTTCAGGCCTTGGACACATCCTGTCGAGTTGATCTTATGCAGACACCATTGATTATCTTCCTACAGCCATTTCCCTCTTCTCGTCTGTGTTGTTTGCTTGGGCAATACATTAAGACGGGCTTCTTCACCATAGCCAGGTGAATCATTCTCCTTGATTGCAACTGCCTTCAGTGTAGGCATGTGACCAATGGGTGTAAGAGGAAACATGAGGGAGCTTCCAGAAAAGAGCAGTAAGAGGTCTGGGACCTTTCATCTGGGCTTGAATACAGTGGTGTGCTGTGATGCTCGAAGCTACCTTGCCCTGACGTAAGATATGCATAAGGAGGGACCAGCAGTTGGCGTAACGGCTATGTTGCCGAACTCCCATGTAGTCGACCGTGGTTTGAGTCCCGGACCCAGTGACTTAAACTCACACCAGGTGTGTGTGTGTGTGTGTGCGTGCATGCCCAAGAACCCAAGAGGAGAATGGAGGAGAAGGGATAGTGGCATGGCCATGCCCCCTGGGGGGTGATTTCTCGCCTTCTGTCTCTGTCTTTCTTGCTAGCGCACTCACCCTATAGCATACCTCTCAAAAAAAAAAAAAAAAAAAAAAAAAAAAAAAAAATAGGGAGAGAAGGGGGAAAAGTATGACATCCCCCCAAAAAAAAAAAAAAAAAAAAAAAAAAAAAAAAGGTATGTGTAAGGAAGAGAAGGGTGAAAGGCAGAAAGAGAACAAGCCAAGGTTCTTTGAAGTACCACTGATCCAGTGCCTCAAACTTGGAACTTCTGAGCAGCAGACCTCACACTACAGGAGATAAAATTGTTCTTATATCACTTACCTCGGTGTAATTGAGTATTCTGGGTACTTGCAGCCAAATGCATCCTGATTCAGAATTTCCTAGGGACTACTCTTCAGGGAAGATCTCTGAGCATCTGCTGTCTATCCCACCAAACTGCACTCAGACAACTTACTATGCTCTACCAACATTTTTCCTCTGAAATTTGAGTGAACAGTGAGATGTGATCCTATGAACTCATTTTGACCATTCAGGATGACTGGCTGGTATGTGAACAAGGTTTAGTGGAAAGCTGGTTGCCTGCTCCATTTCTCTCTTCCTCCTTTTTAACAAAGTTTCAGTTTTGTCTGGATTAATAGTTTATCATGAATATAGCAGGGGGTTGGTAAAGAGTGCATCAGAATGTGGTAGTCACCACTACTTTTCAGACGAAAACAAGAATAAAAACCTTCATTAAAAAAAAAGTGGTAGTCATACTGGAGGCGAAGTTTTTGTATTTCAACTTACTGGGGTAATAGCCTTTATTACTATTATCAGAATGCTGCACATCGCCTTTGGGAAGACTTATGCACAAGGGGAAGATGGGCAGAGGGTCTTACAAGATGTACTTTCTTTAGCTGTGCCAGAGGTCAAGTGCGCCTGAGTTCCTTTACAAATCTGATAAGCATACCGAACTGCCAATGATTTTAAAAAGTAATGTTGGAAGCAGCAGAAGGCGTAATAGTTACATTGCTGAACTCCCATGTAGTCGACCTGGGTTTAAGTTCTGGACCTGGTGGCTTGACACACACCAGGCACATGTGTGTGCATGCCCAAAATCCCAAGAGGAGAATGGAGAAGGGATTGTGGCATGGCTAACCCCCCGCAACCCTCCCCGAGGGGTGTGATTTTTTTTGCTGTCTCTTTCTGGCAAGCACACACACTCTATAGCAAAAATCTCAACAACAACAACAACAACAAAATGTTGATGGAGCCAGCATATGGCATGGTGGTTATACGGCATGGTGGTTAAAGTGCTGGACTCCCTCATGGTTGACTACACAGAGTCCCAGACCCAGGAGCTGGAAAATCATGCCAGGTACATGTGAGCGTGAGCGTGTCCCCAAAGTCCCAGAAACAGAATGAAGAGGGGATTGTGGCATGGCCATCTACCCTGGGGAGTAATTTCCCACTTTCTCTCTCTCTCTCTCTGCACTGAGTGCATGTGTCCTGTGGCCAAAAACTAGAAAAAAAAAAAAGTAAGTAGCTAAGAGTTTAGGAAAATAGGCATGCTCAGATACTAAAGTGTGAATGGGTTTCTAGAGCTCAATCAGGCAGTACTCACACAAAGCCTTGAAAACAGTCTATGCCCCATCCGTAGCTGAGTGATTAGTAAGACACTAGTGATCTAAGGAGATGTCCACTGCAGTGTTACAAAAGAAAAAAATAAAGTAAAAAATTGTGTATATGTGCAGAGAGAGAGAAAAAGAGATGTATGAAAAGAAAGTCACTAAAGAGGTCCTGTTGTAGACTGGTGGGTTTCAAGCAATTTCTTCCTTACATTCCTGTAAAACCAACCAATAAAAAACATAGGGGGAAAAAAAATCACAATTTAGATATCCAATATGTATTCTGTTCCAGGCTGAGTCCCAGTGCCGAGAATGACATCTGACACAGGGCAGGGACTGTACAAAACATGTTTCATAAATGTATCACACAAACAATAGGGAACTGGTTAAATTGTGATGAGCCAGAATGGACTTACACCCAGCTAATACTAATGATGGGATAGAACTACATTCGCTGAGTTTAAAAATCTAAAGGAAAACAGGACCAGCAGTTAGCGTAATGGCTATGTCGCTGGACTCCCACGTAGTTGACCGTGGTTCGAGTCCCGGACCCAGTGGCTAAACTCACACTGGGCGTGTGTGTGTCTGTGCCCAAGATCCTGAGAAGAGAATGGAGGAGGGACTGTAGTGTGGCTATCCCCCCTGGGGAGTGATTTCTTGCTTTCTGTCTGTCTTTCTCTGTCTGGCAAGCACACGCGCCCTATAGCAAAAACCTCTCCAAAAAAAAAAAAAAAGAAAAAAAATCTAAAGGGAAAGGCACCCAATACTACAGTCCCATTAAAAATATGCAGCAGAGCAGGGCCAACAAGTGGTGTGGTGGTTAAGGTCTGGGCTCCCATGTGACTGACTATGGTTCAAGTCTTCAACCTGGTGGCTTGAAAATCACGCCAGGCACGTGTCTATACACACCCAAAATCTTGAGAGGAGAATGGAGAAGGGGCTGTGGCCTGGTCATACCCTCAGGGAGTGATTTCTCATCTTCCCTCCCACTGTCTCTCTCTGGTGCATGCCCTCTAAGTGAAAATATGAACATAGAAGCTAAGAATTAGAGAATACTAATTAACACTAACTGCTAGATACTGTATCAATGCTTTATAAATATCATTTTAATTAGTACTCACAATCTTTTAAGTTAGGTGTTCTGTCTTTTCTTTCCCAGATGAGAAAAATAGCCCCCAAAAAGCTGTGACTTGCTTGAGGTCACATACCCAGCTGAGGAAAGCACATCAAGGGGTCAGGAGATGGTGTGGTGGTTAAGGCACTGGACAGACACTCACACATGGCTGACCTTGGTATGAGTTCTGAACTTGATGGCTTGCTTTCTCCCCCCCCCCAACACACACACACACACACACACATCCCTGTCTCTCTGGTCAAATTAAAATTAATGAATGACTAAATAAAATTAGAATAATTATTTTTAAAAAAAAGCACATCTATCATACTTCAAAAACTGGGCTCTAAATTGAAGAATCCTAAGGAAATATTTAACTCAACTTCTTTATTTTACAAGAGGCAATTACTGCATCACAAAATAAAATAACATATGAACAGTACGTATCTTCTTAGTTATGCTCCTCAGTATCTTGTTTTGAGATTTTAAAAAACTCAACGTAGTAAAGGCAGAATATGATCTAGTGTTCCTTAGCCCATAACCAGCTAAGAGTATCACAAGCTGCCACACTAAGTGAACCACACTCTCTGCTCTATTCCGGAAATCACGTGTAGTAAGCTATCTGACTGGTGACATGGTACCAATCTAGTCCCCAGCCTAGGCCAGCTTCTAATCAATAATGAATAACTCACCTGACCCCCTAGGCACTAAATACATGAACCTAATCTATTCTAAAATGTAACTAGCCATGCACAGATTAGCGAAGCCCAAGGGAAATCACACTAATTTGATCCATAATCTAAACAGAGTTTCCTAAAGACAGAACTAGTAAAAAAACAACAACAAAAGGTATAAACATCAAGATAAAAGGCTTGGGACCAGCAGGTGGCGTGGTGGTTAAGGTGCTGGACACTCCCACATGGCCAACCACGGTTCAAGTCCCAGACCTGGTGTCTTGCTTTCTCACTTTCCCTCTCTCTCTCTATGTCTCTCTCTGGTCAAATTAAAATAAAATAAATGCATAAATAAAATAAAATAAATAATTCTTTTTTAAAAAAAGATAAAAGGCTTGTCCTACTTTGTGCCTTTAAGAAAGTGAAAGAAAAAAAAAAAAGAATGTCGAATGAAATATGGCTAGCACATTCATTCTGAATTGGGCAAGGGTTACTTATTCCTACTACCATGCACTTAATTTGGAAATTCCATCGGTTGAGATCAGTACCTTCTTCCGCCTAACAATGAATATTGAAGAGCTCCCAGAATGAAAGTCACAAGAAAGTAAGAGACTTGAGTTACAATATTTGATCCTACATCCTTTAAGGGAGGAAAAAAAGGTCATATTAGCATATGAAGAACACACAAAAAAGAAATACACCTAAAGATTTTTGAATAGGGATATTTTCTTATCTTTTTTAAAATAAATTATACTTTTTCCATTTATTAAAGCTCATCAAAAAACTCCCCAAAGTAGTTAAATCTTCATTCTTCAGGAATTATTCACTCACAGAGCAGATCACCTAGAGAAAAAGATTTATTTCAGAAAGTTAGATTTCAAACATCATGCCAGACCTATGGAGTTAAGAATTTGGGAATGAAGACAACTAGAAATGAAGGCCTCAGTCAAACACTATGATTATTCCAAATCAGTCATGAAAACAAAATATCTACATTTTTAAATTCTAGTTTTGCCTAACTAAAAAACATTAAAACTGTTCATTACATCGTTCAATATCTACAAGTTTTGTTGAAATAAAAACTGTGTGTATTTTTATTTATTTTCTCAAAAGTATCTCCCAAAGTACAGGTTGAGGCAGTTTACTTTTTACAAATATTCACGAGAAAAGACTTGCAAACCCTTCCTTGCCGATTCGAGCAGTCTGGCAAAGATCCGCGAAGGGGAAAGCAGAAGGTCAGCTAAGTACACAGGCACTTCCTGTGGAAAGTTACTCACTTAATCCGAGGGCAAAATAAGGGCAACCCTTTTAAAATCCTGTTTGGAAAGATCAAAAACCAGGAGTGCAGAGGATATGGCTGTTGGTCTAGTCAGACAACCAGGGCTCTCTCCAACAGCTCTCAGCCACCTGCACTCCCAGCCCTTATCCCAGAAGTGAATAACGATAAAAGGTTATTACATCACACTAGCCATTTTTTTTCCCTTTTTTATTTTTTCTGAGATTTTTGCCATAGGGTGCATGCGCTCCCCAGAGAGCCAGAGACAAAGAGAGAAGGAAAGTGAAAAATCACTCCCTGGAGGGATGGCCAGGCAACAATCCCCTCCATTCTCCTCTAGGGATTTTGGGCTTGCAAACACACACACACACACACACACACACACACACACACACACACACTGTGTTGTGATTTTCAAGCTGCCAGGTCTGGGACTTAAATAGAGACATCGGTCATTTAAGAATCCAGCACTCTAACCACTATGCCACTGCTGTCTGCACACTAGCCAATTCTTGGTCTAATGCAAGTATTAATACTTCCCTCATCTAGCTGTTCCTCTTCACTCTGTTTAGATAAGAAACAAGAAATAGACACCTAAACTCTTCTTCTCTAAAAAGTGCAAAGGAAGAACACCATTAAGAAAAGATAACCATAAAACGAAGCCATTTAACATTCAATGAAAGCAGCTCAAGGCTTTTTAGCTCTTTTCTACTGACTGCACAGCCAATGGGGCTACTGGGAAAGCCCCTGGATATAAACCTCTTGGTTATACACCAAGAAGTATAACCCCTGGGTATAAAGTCCTTCATAGGAGGGACCATCTTTCTCATCTTGTTTTCTTTTCCTTTCTTCCTTCCTTTCTTTCTTTCTTTTTTAGTAGGTTTTTGCCATAGGGTGTGTACACTTGCTGGAAAGATGGCAGAGACAGAGAGGGAAAGTGAGAAATCTCCTCACAGGGAGATGGCCACACCACAACCCCTTTTCCATTCTCCTGGGATTTTGGAAATGCATGCACATGCACTTGGTTTGATTTTCAAGCCACCGAGTTTGGATCTTGAACCATGGTTGGTCATGTGGGTGCCCAGTGCTTTAGCCGCCACACCACCTGCTGGCCCCCTTACCTTGGTATTTTCTAGCCTCTTAATAAATATCTATTGTGGGGCTGGAAGGTGGCATGGTGGTTAAGGGCACTGTACTCCCACATGGCCAACTGTGGTTCTAGCCCTGGACCTGGCAGCTTAACATATATACATGAATGAATGAATGAATAAATAAATCTATTGCATGGGGCCAGCAAGTGGCGTGGTGATTAAGGGCACTAGACTCCCACAGGGCCAACCACAGTTAGAGTCCTTGACCTGGAGGGTTGCTTTCACTTTCCCCCGCTGTCTCTCTCTTTAATCTCTCTTGCTCTGTCCCTCTCTGATCAAATTTAATAAATAAATACATATATAAATAAAGTGAAATCAAATAATTCTTTAAAAAATACCTATTGCATGAATAAATATTTGAATAGAAGAAATGAATCTTTCTCTGGACTATCTCGGGATCACATTTTCATACATAATCAGTTGCTTATTTCTGTGTATATAGTTTTCTTGTGTGTGTGTGTACTTTTTTTTCAGGCTTTTGCCATAGGGCACATACACTTACTGGAGAGACAGTGAGAACATGAGAAATCAACCCTGGGGGGATGGCCACACCACAATCCCTTTTCCTCTATTCTTCTCTTGGGATTTTGGGCATACACACACACACACACACACACACACACACACACACACACACGTGCCCAACGTGAGTTTCAGTTCCCCAAGTCCGGAACTTGAACCACAGTTGGCCATGTGGGAATCTAGCACCTTAACCACACACCATCTGTTAATCTCAAAAAGCCTATTTTAGCCTCCAAACTGTTTTCTACACTTCTGACTCCTAAACGTAAAAAGATACAAGTCACTCATTTCCTCCTCAGATTTCGAATTTGGTTCTAGGCTCATCTACCTTCTCTTTCACAAAGACATACAATCAGAGAAACAGAGAAAAACTGCCTAGAATCACTATTGTCATACCTGTTTTTCCTTAGTCCTTTGCAAATCTCTGCATCTGTTACTATTAAATCTTCAGATTACTTATTTCTTTTAAGGTTTTTTGCCATAGGGCATGTATGTCCAATGAAGAGAGACAGAGTCAGTGAGAGGGAAAGTGAGAAATACCCCCTGGGGGGGGATGGCCACACAATCCCTTCTCTTCCATTCTCCTCCTGGGATTTTTGGGAACACATGCACACTTACTGGCATTATTTTTAAGTCGCCAGGTTCAGGACTCAAACCATGGTCAGCCATGTGGGAACCCAGAAGCTTAACTACCATACCTTGCAGGCTAGAATCTTCAGATAATTTATGTTTAGCATTATCCCTGCTACTATTTCTTTAGCTTAAGCCAGTGGTTGTCAAAGAAGTGGTGCACTTGAAAATCCTCCAAAAGTTTCTTAGTCAGCAGGAGCAAGCCCAGGCCCAGGCTTCTGAATTTGGGGAAACGTTCCTTAAGTGATTCTTAGATGCATCTCTAGGTTAAGAACCACCAGCTGAATTTAGGTTACTTTTATATTATCTAATAGATGTATAATAGACATATTATCAATCTATTGGAACGAGGAACTATTATCATCTATTTATTTAGGAAAAACATTAAAATTCACAATCTATTTTTAATTGCACTTACAGAGTCACACAGAGGGAAGAAAAAGTAGCCCCCCCAGTGGGGTATGGTCATGTTGCAGTCCTTTCTCCTCCATTTCTCCATGCTATCAAGATTTTGGACACACGACATGCTCATTGTGTTTTTCAAGCTGCTGGGGCTGGCATTAGAACTGCAGTCGGCCATATAGCCAGATGGCTTTCTTAACCAGTGGGCAATAATGCTAGCCCTAAACTTTTTGTATTTAGGAACTTTTATGATCATATCTAGGAAGATTTAAGTCTATAAAACATTGTTCCTTTGAAGTTATTGCCAGAGAAATGTAGTCTAATAGTCTCAGAAATACCAATTTAGTTTAATTTATCTTGCAGCAGTGTAAGAGTTGTACCGGATATTTTTTTGGAAAAGTTTTTGCTATAGGGCATGTGCACTCTCCAAAAATACAGAGATGGGAAGCAAGAAATCACCCCCCTCCCCAGAGGTGATGGCCATGGCGCAATCTCTTCTCCTCCATTCTCTTCTCAGGACCTTGGGCAAGCATGCACACATGCCCAGCGTGGTTTACCAACAAGTCTGGGACTCGAACTGTAGTCAACTACATGGGAGTGCAGCGATGTAGCCATTATGCCATCTGCTGGTCTCTGTATTGGATTTTTATCCAGCCAACAGTTTGATTACTGAGCTACATGAATCTATGTGGCAATAGGTCTAATTAGCATTCATAATAAAGTTTTAGAATTGAAGCTCAAGATTATATGCAATTCTGGGCCAGCCAGGTAGCATGGTAGTTAAGGCAGTCAAATTTCCTATGATCTACTATGTGGTTTAAAACCTGGATCCTGGGACCAGCAGTTAGCATAATGGCTATGTCGCTGAACACCCACGTAGTCACCCACGGTTCAAGTCCCGGACCCGGTGGCTTAAACTTATGCCAGGCACGTGTCCAGGATCCTGAGAGGGTAATGGAGGAGGGGGGACTGTGGCAAGGCCATTCTCTCTCGGGGGGGGGGGGGTGTTTCCTTCACTTTCTGGGGCCAACAGGTGGAGTAGTGGATAAAGGCGCTGGGTTCCCACATGGCTGACCACAGTTCAAGTACCAGACCTGGTGGCTTGCTTTCTCACTTTCCCTTTCTTTCTCTCTCAGTCTCTGTCTGGTCAAATTAAAAAATAATATTAGTAAATGGGATTAAATAAATAATTCTTTAAGAAAATAAAAAATAAACAAACAAAATAAAACTGGACCTAGCTGCTTGAGAAACATTCCAGGTGTGTATGCATGCCTCAAATCCCAAAAGGAGAGTGGAGAAAAGGGGATTATGGTATGGTCAGGTGCTTTTTTACTTTCCTTCTCTCTCTTCAGCATAAAAAGATACGCAATCCTAAAAATGAGTATGCCAGCAATAAAAATCTCATTAAATGTAAGAAGTGAAATGAAAGAGTGCCTGTTCCACCACTATCTACTCTTAAGCAATTCATTTTTTACTTTAGTGTGCCACCATTTCCCCATGGAGAGGAGAGAAACAGGACACTTGGAACCAAAGGGGATCCAAACAGCTATTCTTCCAAAAATATTTTTACACTCAAAACCATAAATACATACAAACAAAGCAATGTGGATTCTTTGTAAAGGCCCCATATGGATTCAGAATGTTCTTACAAGTAGGGCTCAAAAATATATAATTAGGTCTTATATTCAACTGAATGTCTGCTATTTACAGTTCTCAAGGAATGGGATAGTCTGTTCTGTGTTCTATCTTACAGTTTACAAAGCAAACACACACACACACACACACACACACACACACACACTTAATCAGCACAATTCTATGAAGTAATTTGGGTAGGTACTATTGTCTGTTTTACAGGTGAGGAACCTAAGGATCAGAAAGTGAAGGACCTGCCCAAGATCAAATAGTCAGTTAAACATCAGGTCTTTAGAGTCTAAAGATTTTGTATTTTGTTTTATCCACAGTGAACTACATGGGTATCATATTCATTCTCTGTCGCAATAACACAAAGAAACTACAATTATCTTGGGCCAGCTTCATGATACAGTAGTACTATTTAAAGTACCACTGTATACAGCAGGGCCAACAGGTGGTGTGGTAGTTAAGACACTAGATTTCCACATGGCCGCCCATGGTTCAAATCCTGGACCTGGCAGCTTGATTCCTCATTTTCCCTCTCTCTCTGTACTTCTCTGGTCAAATTGATGATAAAAATAATAACAGTAATTAATAAAATTGAATAAATTTGTTTTTAGGGACCAGCAGTTTGTGTAATGGCTATGTCACTGGACTCCTATGTAGGCGACCACGGTTTGAGTCCTGGACCCGGTGGCTTAAACTCACATCGGGCGCATGTGCGTGCGTGCCCAAGATCCCGAGAGGAGACTGGAGAAGAAGGGATTGCAATGTGGCCATCCCTCCCCTGGGATGTGAGTTCTCCCTTTTTGTCTCTCTCTGTCTTTCTGGAAAGCACATGCACCCTACAGCAGAAACCTCTCAAAAAAATTAAAAAAAAATTTTTTTTTTAAAAAAAGCAGCAGCTAGATACCAAAATGGTGACTGATGTTCTAATCTCCGGCCCAGTGGACCTGAAATGCTGAACATGTGAATAAGTGCCCAGACTGATGGGCTAGAGGGCTGAAGAAAGAGGATCAGTATGACCAGACCCTGGGAGGGTGCTCATCTGTCTCATATGTGTGCTGTACTCTATCATGAATAAAGGACATAAGAGGAGAGTATGATATCATCTGATCCTTTTGAATATGTGCTGCTTACAACTGTACCACCTCTATGGTTCCCACGAGATCCAAAGGATGCCTTTGATAGTCCCATTTTCAAGGTAGGCTTGGCCCTAGCCAGCAATTTACAGGACTTACTATGAGTTAAATTATGAAGAAGGAAACCATGTACAAACATTGATGTTCTGTCTAAAAAATAGAAGATAATGCTTTTTAAGAATTTATTCCCCTCCGCTGGGACCAGCAAATGGTGTAGCAGTTATGTTGCACTCCTACATGGCTGTCCGCGGTTCAAGTCCTGGACCTGCTGGCTTATGTGTGTTCCAGGACCATGTGTATGTATGCCCAAAATCCCGGGAGGACAAGGAATTGTGGTGTGGCCATTCCCCCTGCAAGGTGATTTCTCACTTTCCATCTCACTGTATCTGTCTCTCTCCAGTGACTACATGTGCCCTAAGGCAAAACCTCTACCCCCCCCAAAAAAAATATATGTGTGTGTGTGTGTGTGTGTGTGTGTGTGTTATATACTTACATACATACCTTCTTACATTTACTATTTTATAAAATGATTTTTTTTATCATGGGCTTCCTTTAAATAATTATCTATTCTAAAAGTCATTTAAGTATACCATCTATACACAGTAGTCAATACACCACACTATACACAAATCACAAAATGTATTATGATTCTCTTTTTATAATTGAAATACAGTGGATTAAGTCTTGATGAAAGTTAAACATAGTTAAAGTGAAAACATGCAAAATCAGGTATCAGAATCAAAATAAAGGCTAAAGGGGAAAAAACAAACACAGGACTTTCAGCCTAGACTGTTTCCCACTGCACAGTGATACTCCTTATCAGCTCCCGACAGGTTCCTTATCCCTCCTTTTGATATCTCAATGAGGCAGGCTGGCCATACGTGAAATTCCAAAGAGGCAGCCAAGAGGTGAAAGAGAAAGAAGCCAGGCTCTCTACTGCTATTATATTGGAATGTGGCTTTGGCATTCTCTCTCAGTTACCATTAAGTAAAAGTGGCAGTGTGGTATGGATGCAGGGGAGTCTGCCTGGAGACCAAAGTTCTAGTTCTGATCCTCCTTAATCTACCTTGGGAGTCCATTTCATAAATATAAGCCTTAAGTTCCTCACTCATTAATTCATTGAATTAACAACCCTCTACTGAACACATATCTTACATATCAGCCACTGCTGGGACTATGACGGTGAATGAAAGAGAAAATCCCTACTTTCACAGAGCTTCTATCAATAGTTGAAGTGAAGCAACACAGATAACAAAAGAACATAAAGTTTTACTGGACATTACTGGAATAGAATAATGAGGAAAGGGATGCTAGTTTACACAACTTACTAGGAAGAGTTAAACTGGAAGAGTTAAATTACGAATAAGGAAACCATGCACAAATGTTGAGGTTCTGTCTTTAAGAATAGTAGATAGAGGGGCCAGCAGGTGGCATGGTGGTTAATAAGCTGACTACCACATGGCTGACTGAAGTTTGATCCTGGACCTAGCAGCTTGAAAATCACACCAGGTCCATGTACGTGCATACCTAAAATCCTGTGAAGAGAATGGAGAAGGGACTGCAGCATGGCCATCCCCTCGGGTGATTTCTCACTTTTGCTCTGTCTTTCCAGCAAATACACACACCCTATGTCAAAAACCTAGGGGGAAAAAATAGAAGATATACTTTTTAAGAATGTACTCTCCCAATTTACTTATTTTATAAAATGATTTATCATGCAAATGCTTTTTTAGTTAGCTATAGGATTCATGTACTTGCCAGAGAGACAGAAATGGAAAGAGATAAAGCACCCCCCAGAGGGGATGGCCACACTGCAGTCCCTTCTCTATTTTTCTCTTGGGATTTTGGACACGTACACACACAGGCCCAGTGTGACTTTCAAGCTATCATGTCTAGGACTCAAACCGTGCAGCCAGTCATATAGGATCCAGTTGCCTTAACCTTCATGCCACTGGTTAATATGAAAAGCCTCTTTTCTTCTTGAAAAGTGTCTTGAATAAGGAGACTTTTGAATAAAGATTGAATGAAGTAGAAAAGTAAACTAAGTTGATATCTGAAGGAAGAGATTCTAGACTAATGAAAATAATTTATTTGTGATATTGCTGAATATACACAATTATGGTATCTTTCAGCATGAAAATTTGGATTCAAAGACCAGCAGGTGGCATGGTGGATAAGGCCCTGGATCCTACTCTGTTGCATGAGTCCTGGACTTGGAGACTTAAAAAGAACACAAGGTACATGAGTGTGTGTGTCCGAAATCCAGAGAAGAAAATGAAGAAGAGATTATGGCATGGCCATCTATCCTAGGGGGTGATTTCTCACTTTCCTTCTCAGTCTCTCTCTACAGCAAGTACACACACCCTATGGCAAAAATCTTTAAAAAAGAAAATTAGGGAGCTGGCAAGTGGCTTGGTGGTTAAGAGTGCTGGACTCCCACATGGCCGACCACGGTTCAAATCTCAGACCGGGCAACTTGGTTTCTATTTTCTCTCTCTTCTCTCTCTCTCTTTCTCTCTCTCACTTGCTTGGTCCCTCTCTGGTCAAATTAAAATAAGTAAATAAATAAATAAGTAATAAAATTAAGGGACCAGCAGTTGGTTTAATGGCTATATCGCCAGACTTCCATATAGTAGACTATGGTCCGAGTCCCGGATCCAGTAGCTTAGACTCATGCTGGGCACGTGTGCGTGCATGCCCAAGATCCCGAGAGGAGAATGGAGAAGGGATTGTGGCGTGGCCATCCCTCTGGGGGGTGATTTATCTGTCTCTGTCTGTCTGGCAAGCGCACACACCCTATAGCAAAAACCTCTCAAAAAAAAAAGGCTAAATAAAATAATTCTTTAAAAATAAAGAAATTAAATTTGGATTCCTGTTTGAAGCTTCAAAAAATAGTCTAAGTATTTTTCCTTTTTAAAATTTGTTATTATTTATTTATTTTAAAAATTTGACTACAGAGAGATAAAGGGAAAGTGAAGAAAGAAGCCACCATGTCTGGTACTTAAGCCACAGTCAGCCATGCAGGAATCCAGCACCTTAATCACCATGCTTCCTGTTGACCCCTGAAGTTTTGGTTTTATTAGAATAATGAAAAGTACAGGGGCCAGCAGTTGGCATAGTGATGTGTCGCTGGACTGCCATGTAGTTGACCGCGGATCGAGTCCCAGACTCAGTGGCTTAAATTCACGCCAGGTGCATGTGCGTGTGTGCCTAAGATCCTGGGAGAATGGAGGGGAAAGGGACTGAGGCAGGGCCATCTCCCCCGGGGGGTGATTTCTCACTTTCTCTCTGTTTCTCTCTGTCTTTCTGGCGAGCACACGTGCCCTAACCTCTCCAGAAAAATAAAAAAAAGAGTAATGCAAAGTACAAAAGAAACAGCAACAATTTTATTTTCGTTTTGCAGAAAACAATACTTCCATTTGTTACATACTGTACTCAAAAGCACTGAAGACCTCAAACATTACAAACAAGAGGCAGGGAACGCTTTCCTTGTAGTTTCTCTAAGTTGGACAATGTAGTATTTTGAACTTCCTAAAGCCTTGAGTCCTACTGACTCTAACTCCAAAAGCTTTGGTCAAACCCTTTCTTGAAAGCTAAATTCTCCCTTTCCCCAATCTGCTGAATGGCTCATTTTTTTAAGCAGCATTAACTCTCTAGATTGGGAACAGAATTATTATTCTTTTAGTGAGACTTAAGCATGCTTCAGTAAAGTACCTTTCAGAAAGAATTTTTCAATGGCAGCTGAATTTATAAAGCAAAACCCAAGTAGGAAGCAAGAAGCTTACCATTTCATATTTTAAATCCCAGGGCTCTCATGCACTCCTTGTGGGCCTCAATTAGATGTCCACAGTGCTCTTCTCCTTTCTCGATGATGCTATTAAACAAAACATACTTGTTACTCAACAAAGTAAGCATGAAACACATTAGTAAATAACCATCTGTGACAGTGATGGGGGGTGAGAACTTGGGTATGATGAACTATAGCTGGAGTTAAAACAGCTTTGCTTTTATTTGATCTTGTGCTATTTTAATGCCTACAAAGATGTTCCACAAATAACCAGATTTTTTTTTTGAGGGGAGAATATGATGAGAAGAAGTAATTATGCATAGTAAATATTGCCTCTAGTCCATACCAACGAATAACACTGTTTTATAATGAAATGAACTGACTGAAACACTTACATTAAATGAAGAGCAGAAAGAGTTCAATGTTTTGTCTGCTATCACAGAGGAATTAATTTTCCAATTCTGCCCTATGTTCGAATACACTTAACAAACCTACATTATATGACACCCAACAATGTAAAAATAAGGATCTGCCAGCCAGGAGCACCTACATGAACACCCCTTGCAAAATTCACAAAGTAAAGATTAGGACTATACAGCTTTATTTCAAGGGCCTGAAATGTAATTCTAGCACATAATCAAGTTAAGCCAGATTCGATTACAAGAAAAAACTGACTCCAGACTACAGATATCTAGGGGGAGAAGACAGAGTGGTTTGAGACAATAGATGCACAAAGGAATTTAAAGAAAGGAATAGGTTTTTCTTCCACTGAAATCCTACCCATCCTTCAACAGCTCAGGGGCTGCCTGCAAATGGGGGAGAAGTCTGGAATAGTAAGCTTCTTAAAAGATAATAGTACGGGGGCTAGCAGGTGGCGTGGTGGTTAGGGGCTCTAGACTCCCACATGGCCGACGGTGGTTTGAGTCCTTGACCAGGAGGCTTGCTTTCTCACTTTCTCTCTGGTTAAATTAAATAAATAAGTAAAGTTAAATAATTCTTTTTTAAAAAGATAATAGTATGTACTGATTATTTATTGAATGCTCTCTATACAGTGCTAGGCCCTCAGTATGGCATATATCATTAACCTTACAGTAATCCTGGAGGTAGAAACTTTTATTAGGCCCATTTTATATACATGAGGCAGATATATTAAATCATTTGTTCCAGGTGGCCAAGTTAGGTGGGTGGGGATTTAAACCTTGACTCTGGATCCCAGGTTCTTGGTCCATGAAAGTTCAGTAAACACGGGTGTCTTCACTGGAGCGATCTCAGTATCTGACTGCAGCCTTCGGGTTCTTAGGTCACAGAACTACTTCCAAGGTACTTTAAATGAAAGCACGCACCAGAGCCCCTACCCTTATTACTCCCTTGAACTACTAGAATTCTCTACTTTGTAAAAACAAAAAGTGGTGGGGAAAGACGTGCATATTCATGTTGTCCCAGAACACTTAATGAGATTTGTTTCATAACAGAGCCTGCAATAAAAGGAGAACAAAACTTTTATAGGAAAATAATAATCTAGACTAATTATCCTGAGTACTATCACTTCACCTATGTGGGAGACTGGTTGATTTTTTAAATTTTTGGTTGTCCTATGGTTGAAGGGGAATTCTTTTTTTGGTGATAGGTTTTTTTCTATAGGGTGTGTGCACTCACCAGAAAGAGAGAGCAAAAAGTGAGAACCCCCCCCCCCCCCTCCCAGGGGGGATGGTCACATCGCAATCCCTTCTCCATTCTCCTCTCAGGTTCTTGGGCACATACACACACGCGCCCGGCGTTGAGTTTAAGCCACCGGGTCCCACACTCAAACCGTGGTGGGCTCCATGGGAATCCAGCGACACAGCCACTACACCAACTTCAGGTCACTGGGAATTCTTTAGAACTGTAAAGAATGTACCCTATGTTTCAATCTCTGAATTTGGGACGAAATCCTTAGAAATTATCAGAAATGTTTACTTTTTGGTCTTGCCACATCTATTATAGCTCTTACCACGCGGTATAGCGATCGCCATTACCTTTAAACTCCTTTAAGTCAAAGTAGCATTTTTATCCATTTCTATACCTTCGGAACTAACCCAGTGCTTAACACATAAGGGAAGCTCAGAAACCATTTGCAGGAAGGAATGGGTGGGTGAAGCGAGCCTCGGGGCAACCTGACTGCTCTCCCCAGCCTGCATCGTCTCCCGGAGCAGATCACTAAACCTACTACACCCTGCAACTCTCAAGGGAGCTGCACAGAAAAAAGGGCAGAGGGCGGAGGGCAGAGGGCAGAGGGCAGAGGGCAGAGGGCAGAGACGCCGGAAGCGCGGGCCGGGCCGCGAGCGCCCGCGGGCCATCCCGTCTCTCCCCGGGCGCACTGACCACGCATCGCGCGCCTTCTTGGTCTCGGGGCAGGCGCAGCAGGGCTTCAGCGGCTTCTTCTCCTGTGACTCAGCCGGGGCAGGGCTTGCAGCGGCCAGGCCCGGCATCTTTCGCGCCGAAAGCACCTCAAGTGCAGACACCCTAAACTCTACCAGCCCTTACAAACGCCGATTCGTCCGCAGTCACTTCCGACAGGCATTCCAAAGTGGCCAGGAAGTCCTGCCCCCTCAAGGGGGCGGGGTTTTTAAACGGCGCGTGCGCAGTAAAAGCAAGATGAGGTCATTAACAAGCGGGCCCCTCTTGAACGCATGCGCAGAGAGGTCAGCTAAAGTGTTAGTCATTGTCAATCAACTTGGGGCGGGTTCAAAAACGCCGACCACGGTAATTTGTCAGTCACATCACCTATGAAGGTCGGAACTAAAACCCGAGAATGTCGTTTGTCCACATCGAAAAAGAGAAACCACTACTGAGTGGCAGTTTCCTCGAATAACAGACTTTCCCATATTTAACGCGGGTAATTGTTTACCTTCTTCCTGCACCTACCCACTGCAGGGTTTTACTGTCTGTCTTGACCTAATAAAAGGTGAGCAGCGAAGGGTCAGCCTTGGTGTGGTTGGGGCGGCTAGAGCCCACATGGCCGACTGCAGGGTTGTTGTCTTGGACCCTGCTGGCCGTGTACCGTGAACACGTGCCCCAAATCCCCACAGAATAGAGGAGAAGGGATCCTGTGTGGCCATCAGAGGGTGCGCTTCTCTCTCTCATGCATCCTGTAGCAAATTTCTTTAAAAATGAGCAGCGAAGATACCCGTTGAACGATCTGATCCACGTGTGTTGCGGAAAAGGAGGTCCTCTAATTCCTTATGTTGCCTGCTGAAATATGGCAGCCATTTCTGTAAATTATCAAGAGAGGAAGCAAAGACGGAGAAACGGAGTTTATTTAGCTGTGCTTGGAGCACATGGAATGGCTGGGAGCCAACAAGCTCACAATCAACTCCCAGAACAGACATTTCCAGCATATTATACATTAATTTATTCGTTATCTATAACAAACCTAGCTAGTTCAGTGGTCCTTGAGCCACTCTATTGGCTCTGGCTGACTCCTACTTCTCCAGAGTGTCCTTTCGCTTTTACTTTACTATCCTTTCCTCTTACCCTGGTATGTTTCATTCTATTCTTTACCTGAAAGTCCAAGAGCCTGGGTATCATCACAGAAGGCATCCTGAAACACAGTGATTAATAAGATTGAAAAATATTTCCTTGGCATTTTTAAAAGTTTGCTATGTGATACATGCACTTGCCTAAGAGAGACAGAAAAAAGAGAGAAAGCACCGCAGAGAGGGGATGGCCACAAAATTCCTTCTCCTCCATTCCCCTCTCAGGATTTTGGTACACACATACATGTGCCTGCTATGTTGTTCATATCCCCAGGTCTAGGAATTAAACTGCAGAGCTGGCCATATGGGATCCGGCTGCTTTAACCACCACCACCAGCTGCTCCTTGGGATTTCTGTAATTCAGTTAGAAAGTTATTTGCAACAAATGACGTAATCCTTGGGGATTTTTTTTGTTTGTTTTGTTTTGTTCCTGCAGAGAACTCTTGGAAACAGGGAAATAAACTCATTTTTAAAAGCAAGATAGGGAGTAGATGTTTTGGGTACTCAAACTTTCAGTATCACTTAACCAATGTTTGTTTCTATATTTCAGAGGTTAAGCTCAGAATCTATTATTTAAGCATGTCTGTGACCTGGTACAGAATAGTAGCAGTTGTTTTCTTTATTTAAAAACAATATTTATTTAATTTTTTTTTTTGACAGAGAGATTTTTGTGAGGACTCGTGCACTTGCTAGAGAGACAGAGAGAGATAGAAAGAGAGAAATCACCTCCCAGGGGGGATGGCCATGCCATAATCCCTTCTCCTCCATTCTCATCTCAGGTTTTTGGGCACACATGCACACATGCCAGGTCTAGGACTTGAACCACAGTCAACTACGTAGAGTCCAGCAACATAACCATTATGCCATCTGCTGGTCCCTATTTATTATTATTATTATTATTTAAAATTCACTAGAGAGAGAGAAAGTGAGAAAGCAAGATGCCAGGTCCAGGACTCGAACCATAGTTGCTGATGTGGGAGTCCAATGCCCAAACCACCACGCCACCTATTGGCCCCATGAGTAATTTTTATATGTGTATTTTCCAAGTTAGTAAGGTCATCTCCATTTTATCATCCTAACAATTTTGTTTTTTAAAGAATGACTTTATTTTTGTTTGTTTATATGTTTATTTATTTATTTATATTTGATCAGAGATGGACAGCACAAGAGAGGGAAAGTGAGAAAGCTAGCCGCCAGGTCTGAGATTTGCACCATGGTCAGCGATGTGGGAGTCCAACACCCTTAACCACCATGCCACCTGCTGGCCCCCTCATCCAAACAATTTTAATAAGCATGATTTTTATTTCATTCTGGATTGATATGTTTAATAAAACAACATATTACCCTTATGTTTGCCTAATCTCACTTTTATCTACCATTATCAATTCTTTCAACCAAGTATTCAGTCAGGGAAAAAAAGCAGTTCAGAGAGGTCTGTAGAAGTTCATTTAAATTTTAATGACTCCAGTAAGGCATGAATAAGCAAACCCATAAATCATTATGGATTTGCCACTGATACAGCCCCCCTCACACACACCCTTTTTTCATCCTAGTGTTCTTTTCTTTTTATAAGCTTATTGGAGCACACAATATTATAGTCTAGTCAGTGAGAAATAAGAGGACATCCAGACCTAGCCAAATTACTGGAGTTTATTGATTAAGCCGGTGGAGGTCTCATGTCTCTAGAAAACCGGCAGCCCTGAGTGAAAGGTGAGGGGTGCTTATAAAGGGAAAATCACATTCTTTTTCCAGGTTGAGGTGTTGATTTCAAGAACAAAGATCTGTGGGCTTGAAAGGGTGAGGAGTGAGGGTTTACAATGAGAAGCAGCCAGAAGCAAAACAAGTAGGTTAATCATTCCTAAGGGTATGATCCATTCCTACTTAAACACAATGAAATCTTAATGACCTTTAGGGCTCAGGGCCAATGAGTCTAGTGGCTGTGTCAAATGCCATGGAACATCTTAAGGTAGGGGATTTTGGATTATTTAGCAAAGACAGTAGGAATGTTAATAATTCTGTTGGGAACCAGCAGTTAGCGTAATGGCTATGTCGCTGGATTCCCACGTAGTCGACCGCGGTTCGCGTCCCGGACCCGGTAGCTTAAAACTCACGCCGGGCGCGTGTGCGTGCGTGCCCAAGATCCCGAGAGGAGAGTGGAGGAGAAGGGATTGCGGTGTGACCATCCCCTCTGGGGGGTGATTTCTCGCTTTCTGTCTCTCTGTCTCTCTCTGTCTGCCTGGCGAGCACACGCGCCCTATAGCGAAAACCTCTCAAAAAAAAAAAATTCTGTTTACTCTAGGCAAAAAGAGAAAACACGTTTCCAATATATAGAGAAGCTCAAAATGGAGGTGCTCCTGCTTCAGGCACACCTATTCCTTTTTCTTTTTCCTTTCTGTTTTTTTGTTTGTTTGTTTTTTGTTTTTTTGTTTTGTTTTTGTTTTTGTTTTTGTTTTGGCCATAGGTTATGTGAGCAGGCCACAATCCCTTTTCCTCCATTTTCCTCTCAGAATTTTAGATGGGCATGAACACACATGCTTCCAGCGTGCTTCTCAAGCCACCGGTCTGGGACGCTAACCGATGCTAACCGTGGAGCTAGCAGTGTGAGATCCAGCACCTGCTGGCCCCATCGAGTCTTAGACCTGGCAGCTTAAAAAAAATGCTGGATGCATGTGTGTGTGCCCAAAATTCCAAGAGGAGAGTAGAGTGGCCGTGCCACCTGGGGAGTGATTTCTCACTTCTCCCCTATCTCTGTCTCTCATAGTGAGTGCACACACCCTAAAATACAAAGAATTTAAAAAGTGATTTATTTGAACCAGGACTTAAGATGATTTACCTGGGTGGCACAAATCCATTACCTAGCATGTGTGAACCAAAAATGGTTCTTTGAGTTCATACGTAAAGGATAAGGTATAGCCAATCAGTTGCCTGCATTATTTTAAATAGACCAACGTAAATTCTTTTTTTTTTTTCCTTTTTTTGAAGAGAGGTTTTTGCTATAGGGTGCCTGTGCTTGCTGGAAAGACAGAGAGAGAGAGAGAGAGAGAGAGAGAGAGAGAGAGAGAGAGAGAGAGATAAAT